GGCTGTCTTTCTCCGTCCTTAAGGTGTCGATCTGCCTGAGATCTTGCTCCGCTTTGTGCGCATAAGTGAGCTTTTCAGTCTCTACCTCACACTGAAGGGCATCTTTGTCAGTCCTCAAGGCTTCGAGCAGCTGGAGATCTTTTTCCAGCCTGTTTGCATGAGCAAGTTTTTCATTCTCCAGCTCACACTGAAGGGTGTCGATCTGCTGGAGATCTTTTTCTATCCTGTCCGCATGAGCGAGCTTTTCAGTCTCCAACTCGCGCTGAAGGGCGGCTTTCTCCACGTTCAGCCTGTCGTTCTCCACCTTTAGAGCGGCTTTCTCCGCCTTCAGGGTGTCGATCAGCTGGAGATCTTGCTCCACCGTGTCGGAGTGAGACTTGTTTTCTGTCTCATGCTCACTGTGAAAACTTTCCACCCGCTGCTTGAGAGCGAGGGAATCGTCCTCACCTCTCAGGCTGAGCTCATGGTGTGAAGCTCTGAGCTTCTCCAGTTCTTCTTGGAGAGCGCTGTTCTTGTTCCTCTCCGCATTGAGCTCATCCGTGAACCTCTTCTGGCATATCGTATATGCCACTTTCAGATCCTCGTAGTCTTTCTGAAGATCTTTCTTCTTCCTCCTCTTTATACTATTGGCCACCTGAGAGGCAATGTTCGAGGCGCTGAGAGCTTCTGCGTCACAGTACTGCCTCAGCCTCTCAAGCTCCTTTCTAGCTTCTTTCTCCCTCTTGATAAAGTCTTCAGTCTTGGCTTTCTGGTAAGCCAGCTGTTCCTTTGTCTGGCTTAGCTCTTGGCTAAATTGGATCCTCCAGTTCTGTTCATAGTTAAAGTTCTCCCTGCCTCTGCTCAGCATCCCTTGAAGCCTCCCGATTTCTTCATGAAGAGCTTCGCAGTCCATGTTCTTGTTCCTGGGAGCTGTCTGTCTGTTGTTTCTACAATTTTAGAAATCATTCCAGTTGGCATCATGGATAAGGCCGGCACAATCCTCGCCATCTTCATGGCCATGGGTCCAGTTATCAAGCTGGCCAGGCTTCCACTTCCTGATAGCAGCAACATGAACAACATGTAGTTCATGAAGTTCAAGCATCATACAAAGTGTTTGTTAGTTATAATCACAGAAACCTGTTGTTTTGAGCAGAATTAAGCAAGGAATCGAGTCAGGAATCACTAAAATGCATGAATTCACTTTTCTGTGAAACCAATATGGCGGGGTAACTCACTTGAACACAGGTATGGTTCCATCCACCCACTTCCAGACATTTTCTTCCTCCCTGTCAGTCAGGCCCAGCCAGAAATAACTTTTTCCTGCAATTGCAGTTCTCACAAATTGCTGCAGATATAAGAGCAACAACACTGTGCTGTGCCGCCCCAGATGTCCTCTCTGCTAAGTTTCTGTTTCATAATCTAAAGCTTTGGGCTGCTGGGAGGAGACCGGTGTCCACATTGTCTGACCACAAACAGGCTGCTGTTCATGTCTCTCTCAGACTCTAGTCAGTTATTTGTTTCAGTCATTCTTTTTCATTGTTATCCTATCCTTTTTTCACTTGCTGTTTTTAAAATTGCCTTTATTTTGTATTATTATTTATCTATTTTATATTTAGACTATATTGTTTGGCATTCATTGTGGACAGCAAAGGAAGAATTTCATTGTGCAGGGAAACATGTTTCCTTATTGTGCATATGACAATAAACTGATTGATCAATAAACTCTTATGATTACACTGTATTTTGTTTTACTGATGTGATTCTGAAAAGTAACCAAGGTTATCAAATAAATGTAGTGGATTAAAATGTATAGTACTTGTCTCAAAAATGTAATGAAGTCAAAACTGTACTTAAATACAGTACTTGAGTAAATGTACTTCATTACTTTCAACCAATGTCCCAAACTGTGTAATTTTATGTTTCACTTTTATTGCAGTGAATCATGCTCATATGGAAAAGTGCTCAACCACGTTCTATTTTGGCTTCGTTTTATATATTTGTGAAACACTTTGTAACTGTATTTTGAAAAGTGCCATATAAGTAAAGATTAATATTGTAATGGGGAGTGGGTTGAAGTAGAGGTGGAGCTTATCTTTTATCAAACTGAGACTGGGAGTTGGTTCCACAGGAGGCGAGCTTGACAGCTAAAGGCTCCCATTCTACTTCTGTGGATTCTAGGAACCACAAGTAAACCTGCACTCTGAGAGCGAAGTGCTAATCTGGTGGATTCTGACCAGTGAACCCACTTGACCACCATCATGCACAAAAAAAGTTAGGACTGTTTAGGTTCCACAAATGTGCAAACATTGTTGTATAAGGAACAGATGACAAGTACAAACACTTTGTAGTCCTGGACTTCCCAGTTTATTTCAAGCACTGTAAAGACAACAGAAAAACAGACAGTGTCACATGAGTCTGCACCAGATAGCCACGTGGTAGGCCAGTTTGTCATTTGGGAATGAGGGGGTAGAAGTAGGGAGCAATAACTTTAACACACAGACACACTGAAACCGCAAAACATGGAGGAGTGTTGAGCACCCACACGGAGTTTATCGCACAGTGATGGAGTTTCTTGTGAATGCTTCACTTCTGCTGAGATCTCCACAGGTTGAACTCTTGATTTAAAAAAGGTATAACATCATGACACAATTTAAGGTCAAGAGACACTATGAAAGTTTGGTGTAGCCACTAAATAAAAAGATCACATCCTAAAAACATACCAAGATGCATATTGCATCAGAAATTTGGAGATAAATCCCACAGACACGTTTTCACCCAAAATACAATGTACAAATATGTAACTTCTAATTTGGGACCCCACAAATCTTAGCATGTGCTAAACCTCCACATTTAAAGTTCCCTCCACTCTGCAAAACACAAAGGTGTATGCCTTCATTAAACCAAAAACACAGGACACACTTCTCTTCTAAGTGATCTAAAATAACACTGGAAGCAGTTTAGGTTGCTTGATGGAGCTCAGGAATTCAAGGCCTAAATATCAGATTAGCAACTTCAAACTTAAAAAAAGTGTTACAAAATCATGGGGCAATTATACAGGTATATGAAACATACACAATCCTTTGAGGTTGACAGTGCCAGTAAAATGACATTACACATTATTTCTGAGTCCATCCATCCTTACAAGGTCACTTTCAGAAAACACCGACAGCTGTTTTAAGGTCCACCATCGTTTATACAATATACATCAACAGCATAGTTATTAGTACTGCAACAAGACTGTTTCCATATCAAAATATACAAAGGGAGATCACCTCTACTCATTCCTTCATCCACTCAGAGATTCTGGGTGAATTTCGCCATTCTTCCTCATTTCTTTTTTTTTTTTTTAATAATAATAATTTAACAAAAGTCCACACACACATATTTTCACTAAAATGTAAACATGAATTCATTATACACATTAAAAAAGCCAAGGGAAGCAGCTTTGCATGTTGCATCCACTGTACAGTTTTAGAAACCCACAGATAAAAATCGTCCTGAAAGGTAAATGTGCTTTAACGTTTACACGACTACTACGACTTGTGTGAACACTTCAGCTAAAACTAGGTTTTGAAGGAGCTGGACGGAGGCTTGATTCAGCAAGGTATTAGAGGACAGAGATGACAGCCTGGTTGCCAAAGGTAGTCACAAAGCTTTATCTACACACATGTATGCTGATCAGAGGAATGTCAGCACTGATGCACACAAACAGCACATGACAGTAGAGCCCATGCATGCATGAAGCTTCTTATGAACAATTACAGTACTTCTTTGAAATGGTTCCTATGGCTAAGCCATGCTTTGACACCTGTGCAAGGCTTCCAAGTATTATGACATTAATTTTTTGTTCTTTAAACTATTAACACAAAGCCTGTGATCAGGACCAATGAATCTCCATGAATGAATTCACCACCACAGTCTGCAGGTTAGATGTCATCTGAGAAGCAGCACAGAATATGTTCTCAAATTCCACAGTACATTAATAGTTGCAGGGTAAACACTCTAAGGTTGTTTTAAACACAAAACAGCACCCTGCTCTAGACAGAAATTGTGGTATGTAAAAATGAAGCATGGTGTGATACTGACTGACGTTACCTCCCCTTTCCTATGGTGGATTATTTAACCCAAAATTTTAAAGAAAATGAAAACAATTTTCCATTTGGAAATCCTTAATTTTTCTTTATAATTTTCATCTGAATTTAGGGTAAAATAATCCTCCATTTTTTGCACCTTCCTTAAAACCACAATGAAAAGTTGTCGCGTGGCTTTCCTTTTGTACAAGTCCTGAAATAACAGCTGAAGCATCCAAGGCATTTGCAACAACCATAAATTTTTTTTTTTTTTTCATAAAAACAAAAAAAAAAAAAAATTTCCAGGTGTTTTGAAAACCAAGAGAGAAATCTGGGAATCTAGAAAGTAAACATAGCTTAGCGGTCATTATTGCAGGATGCATATTTTACTGAGAAACATTGATTTCAGTTTGTTCTTCTGTCTTCAAAGACTTGCTTGTAATGATTTTGGACTTGGTCACAGTTTTCTGGACACACATGCAAGGCCTTCAAATGTTGAGTACAGTAGCAGGTCAAAGTGTAAAACTAAAGCCTTTCTTTGTCTTTAGACTTGGGTTTCTGCTGTGGTGTGGGACTCTGCGATCCCCTTCCTTCCAGCTCCATGCTGTATTCTGACGGAGCTGAGCTGATCCAGGATGCTTTGAACCCCTTTGGCTGCGTGACAGGAAGCGTGGGGCTCGGCGTTGCCTCTCTCTCCTCCATGTCATCAAAACTCACTTCCTGCACAGCCTCTTGTTTCTTGAATGAGTCTCTCCGCTCCGACAGGGCCAGCTTTCTCATCACCACCACCTCTTTGGAGTGGTGGTTGGCACCATGGTGCTGTGGGGACGTGGTACAACGGTGATGCTCGCTGCCTCCACTGACCATGTCCTGGTGGCCTTTCTGCCCTCCGATATACAGGGCTTGACGGCCGTGCTCACCAACGCAGACAAACCCGGTGGTGGTGTCCCTCTCCATGTCCTCCAGCCCCTCCCCCTCAGACAGAGGCACCTCCATGGTGTGGCGGCGGGTGCTGTAGGCCTTCCTATCTCCATGGTAGCCCCCTGTCGTCTTGTCGCCCGACAGCTTCTCTGCTGACTGGACCCTCTTGAGGAGCGGCGAGCGCGGTGGTTCTGCACTGCGGGGACGAACTGAATGGCGAGCAATAGTGGGAGGGGACAATGTCTTGCCATGGAAACCCTGCAGGGACTTTGGGTGACTGGGGAAGCAGGATGGAGTGCACTGGGGAGAGAGAGGCTGAGGAGGCGGGATGCAGGCCAGTGGTGATGGGGGGATGCTGCTGGTGGATTTGCAGCGGCCAGCTTTGGTGTAGCGACCCAAGACATGAAGGGAACTCGGACGGGCCTGTGGTATAGGTGAGTTAGGGGAGCTGGAGCAGGGAGATGAACTTGAATCTGAAAGAAAGAGATAAAACAGTTTGTCTATTTTTCATCCAAAAAAACTGGCAATCACAAAGAAACAAAAACACAAAAGGAGACTGGCTTCAGTCTACAATTTATCGTCACTCACCTCCGGAGTGGTCGGGAGCAGGGGAGCGGCAGGGTGTGGAAGGTCCAGGAGAGAGAGACTGTGTGGGAGAACCAGAGAGACTGTCGCTAGATGACTGATGGAGCCCTGAAGAGAAGCTACGACTGCTTTGCATAGGCGGAGGAGGAGTATGCTTAGACAGCTTCTTCAAGATGCTACGTCGTCTGCTGCAAAAGAAAAAATACAGGTGTCAAATATGATTACAGTACTATTCTTTGGTTTAACCTTTTCCATGTTTACTCAAGTACAAAAATGATATCAACTACAGCACTAGAGAAAAAGTCTCATCCAAAGAAAAGAAGTCAAGATGTCTGTCTGAAATCTAATAATGAGCTGTCCAACAGTAAAGCTATGGGTGTGACATCATTCTACCCTTCTGTACCTGTCCTGTCCCTCCTTCCTCTTGCTCTTTTTGCTGCGCCGGGCCATCTTGGCCTTGTAGCTCGCCCTTCTGGCAGGGCCCACCTTGATAGAAGTGTTCTCCAGTGCAGTTGTCTGGAGGGTCACTCTGCTCCCACTCTGTTTAAACCAGATTGATTACAGGCTGTTAGTTTTAACCCCCAAATGTGTGGACATTAGTGTGAGAAAAACAAATCTCTTTTGTGGATGTTGTCTGGGCTGGTGCTCATCAATATACAATAAGTAATTAGGAAAATTTCACATTTAAAATTATCCTTGGTAACAATCTTACCTTTAGTAGGAGCTCCACCACCTCAGTGTGGACTAGTCCCTGTACAGACTCCCCATTGACGTGAGTGATGAGGTCACCAGCACTCAGTCCTGCCTCATGTGCTGGACTGCCGTCCTCAACACACTGTGAACATAAGTGCACACCACCTCAAAATTACTGGTCAAGCAACTATCTAATCAGCCCTTACAATGACTGACAACACTGCACCTATGCAATCATTACAAATACTGTTTTCAGTTTACTTACACGGTCAAAGAAAAAAAAAAAAGAAACACCAACATCCTTATTGTAGGCATAACATTAGGTAAGTCACATTCATAAAAACTATAAAACAGAGGTGATTTAGCACAAATCAGTGAGTCTCTTTAGTCATTGCCAGTAATTGGTGATGCTGACTTATGGCCATTTAAAAGAAAATATGAAGACGACAACAGCTGTTTAAATATGTATGACATAAACTGTGCGTGTTTTATAATTACACTCTACATTTGTTGAATATACTACATGACTGCCTGAGACACGTACCCAGACCATGTGATGGACAGTGTAGACATCACTGTCTCCCATGTAGACCCTAATAGCTCGCAGAGCGAAGCCAAACCTCTTTCCAGAGCTGTGGATGACCACAGGAGGCCTGAGGCAGCTGATGCTGACAGACAGGTCCCGGCTGGGAGATGAGTCTCGGGATGAGGGGTTGGACGACAGAGACAGGGTCGACTTAGGGCTTGCAGGAGGACCAGCTGTGTCGTCTGAACCAGGAGAAGAAGATAAGGAGAAAGGTTGAGTACGCACTTCTGACTGCAACTCTGTAAATGCTGCACCATCCACTTATATTACTACTTCTAACAATTCTAAAAATGTAAGTTATTCTTCTACGTTCATTTCTTAGTTAGATAACTGAAATGTGAGAACATAAATGATATTACTCCTGACCAGATTAATAGTATTTATGGTTTGTGCATTTGTGTAAGTTACACATCAGGCTGTAGAGGGTGCTGTAAACACATGCATATATGAAAGTCATGCCTCTAAAAGACTTGATTTAAAAACATGACTATGACTGGAACTTGAGCAAGCAACTAAATCCAAACCAGCATCAATGAAAACCAGATAAGGCTTGCTCATTTCCTTAAATTATGCTGTTATATTATTTCCTTTCCATTCCAAAAATGCCCCAAACTCTCACTGTTTTATGATGTACAGTACTGTGCAAGTCTTAGGCCAGTCGAGAGAGAGGTGCAAAGGGAGGTCATACTAAATACTGACTTTGGACAGTAGAAAACATTTTATTCTGAAAATCTTGTGTTTGTTAATATTATGTACACATCTCCTGTAGTTTCTGATTATATCTTAAATATAAATATATATGCCATCATTACAACCTTGCTAAAACAGCAAAACTAATGGTGGCCTAAGACTTTTGAACAGTACTCTAGTTCTTTTTGTATAAGTTATTATCATCCTGTCTACCTGGAGTGATGATAAGAGACAGGCCAGAGACTGAGGCAGACTTGGGGACTTTGCCAGATGGGGATCTGGATTTCTCTGGTGTCTCCAGTTGGTGGGCGATGCGCCGGGAAGCCCCTCTCCGGAAGGACGGCCTGGTGCCTGTGCTGTTGCTTCGGAGACGAATGCGCCGTAGATTGGAAACCATCCCATCTAGGTTCATGAGGCAAAGATTGTGAGCACTGGTGTTTTACAAGTGACAGAGAGAAGCTGTGTTTGTGTTTTTCAGTCTTACCCTCCTCTTCTGCAGAGATGGCAAAGCGAGGCATGATGTCAAGGCTCTGGGTGCTGTTCATCACAAGTGGGCTGGCACTGCGTTCTGACTGGGAGGAACTGGACGAAGCACGAGGACGCAGGCTGCAAAGGGACACACAGACACAGAATCTCAGTAAAACCTCAAACGAGCCTACTTAAAAACCGGGCAAAGGGTTTATAATGTAGGAATAAGCAGCTGCACTCTCTGAAAGAACAGCAACTGTAGACCAACATAACAAAACAACCTAAGACTTACCAAAAATGTAGAAGTAAATCAGCTCTGTTATGCAGTTTTAGCTATTCACAAATATCCAGTTACATTTATTTTGAGGAAAAACTTTACCTTTTAATTTTACTCTGCTAAAACATTACAATTTGCTCAGTAGAGGTCATGTCAGTCTTTTACTGTATATCTTAACCGTTCATTTTATTTAGGGTCATAGGGGTCACTGGAGCCTTTCCCTATCTACACTGAATAGAAGGCAGAAAACCTGACACTCCCATTCCCACCTGAGCAATGTAAATGTCTCCACCTGACCTGCACATCAGGTGGAGGAGGTCAGAGCAAACGGTGCGCAGACAAAAACCCCATGCCAAAAGGAACAAACCTGGATGAAATGACACTGTTATGTCTGAGAATATGTATGACTGAGAATTACTTAGTAGTAAGGAGTTTCATCAGTATCTCATAAAAATTTCCATCTCGCATCTTTCGTAAAATCTGTAGCAAACAAAGCAAAAAGGGGGGCTGTTATTTTTTCCTTATAATAAGGACATCACTCTGTCCTTTCAGGCTCTCACCTCCCCCTGTGTCCATCTGCCTTTCTGTCTCCACTAGCCAAATGTTTGTGTCCGTCGCCAGGGGAAAGGACTCCCCTGCCCTCCCATCGCTCCTCCTTCTCCTCACTGTGGCTTCGCTCTGATGACGACAGACTCTGATTGGACGGCGTGGAGGTGGACAGGTGCTCTGTGCTGCTGTACACCTAAAGTTCACAAAAATGTTTAGAAATCTGGAGGAGTGTTTTTTCCAGAGTTCACATCACAGTTTTATTTTAACAATTAGTTTTCATGTTAGCTATATCTTCTAATGGTATAACACGGTATATTTGCTCTAGGTGAAGATGATTCAGCAGAGCAGTAACAAGTACTTTGCTAAAGCGATGGGCCACAGAGGAGAACTGTCGCAGCTCCAGAGATGATTCATCATCATTGGTTTCATCATCTTCATCTGACTCCAGGTGACTGTAGCGATCTGATCGGGCTGTAGAGAACAGGAAAAAAGTGTTCACATTGTTTTTATCTAAACTGAAACTGTCACCAGGCACTGTATCTTACAGCCTATTCTCATTGTAGTGTGGCCCGTGTCTCTAACAAAAGGTGTATCCGGGTTTGTCTGTGTGCATGAAAACATAGATGCATATCTGTATCATAAGTTAGGCGAGTCTATACTACCTCATGAAAGACCCTGTAGGCGTATCTGTGAATAATTCCACGTACTGTCGAAGTAGCTGGTGTCCTCTTCGGTCTCTAGCTGAGGGACGAATTCAGCTTTCTGCCTCAGGAGGCCAGTCCAGTCCAGACCCACAAAGAACATATGCATCTTCACCTCACTGGTTCCACCTAGAGAAGAACACAAACACCTTTGGTTTGCACATCTGCCCATCTTGAGCCTGGTGTACAGGTGCTCCTCTGCCACTTTGACTATGCCTCTCTTGATACATTAATATATACTTTTCTTGTGAGAAAATCGATTCAAATGATGAGAATGCTTTTTTCTATGAACTTTAACAAATTCACCATCGGTCGTCAGACATGCTGCCACCCACCTGTTCCCAGGCGTTCCAGAGGGCTCTGCCTCAGCAGTCTGGTGATAAGGTCCTGGGCGTCAGCTGGCAGAGCATCCTCTCCGTCTGGCCACAGGATCTCATCTGGTCAAAGAAGCACATACCAGTGACTCAGTGAAGGGATTTAAATTCATCTACATAGCCAGGGGGACTCTCATGCAAATTATACAGAAAACCAACATGAACAAATATTAGTGCTCCATTATTTAACACAATAACAATGTGAAACTGAAGGATCTCTTACCATTAACCACCTGACCAAAGAGTTGTTCTGGCGTGTCTCCAAAAAAAGGCACACACCCTACCAAAAACTCATAAAGAATGATGCCCATGGCCCACCAGTCCACAGGCTTTCCATAGCCCTGCCTCAGGATCACCTCCGGAGCAATGTACTCCGGAGTACCACACACCTGTAGAGAGCAGAACAAATGAAGATGGGGAAAATGTTTATTTAAAGGTCATGAACACAGAAGATGAGATGAAGTGACAACAAGTTGAGAAGAGACGGACCTGTTTATCAATGAACTCTCTGGTATCTTTCTCAATATGTCCTTCGTATAAGTTGGTCGTCATGTTCATTAGGCCGATCTTTGACAGCCCAAAGTCTGTTAGCTTAATGTGTCCCATGGAGGTGATTAACAAACTACACAAGGAAGGAAACACAGAAATGTTTCATGTTACATTAAACTAAATCATGATTCTAAGATTCAATAAAACATATCAAAGGTTGAATGTTTCAGAGAAATCAAAAAGATTGCTAGCCTGTTAAAGAATGAGAGCAAGTCTAAAAATAGTGAAATCTTTAAAGGTGCAGCCTAAAATGAAATGTGAAATCTGAGGGAATATTCTCTTCTGATACTGGTCGGGGACCTACTTGTCAGGTTTGAGGTCTCTGTGAACAATGCCATAGTTGTGAAGGTACTCTAAGGCTAGGACAGTCTCTGCAAAATACATTCGTGCCATGTCCACAGGTAGTGGACCAATGTTCTTCAATAGGTTCGCACAATCCCCACCTTAAAGTATAATAGAGGCCGTGAAGACAGACAGTCAGGTCAGATGGTTTGTTTAGGCATTCCATATTGAAGGTGTACTTTACAGAAGAGAGTTTGAATACAGTATTCCTAGAAAACATGCAATGGAAAGACAGCTCACTTTAATGTGTATGCTCTCACAATGCAAACCAGCCGTACCTTCCACATACTCCATGACGATACAAAGGTGCCTCCGTGTCTCAAAAGAGCAGAACATAGATACCACAAATGGGTTTTCAGCAAAGGTGAGGATGTCGCGCTCTACAAACACCTGCTGGATCTGGTTCCTTAAAATCAGGTTCTGCCGGTTGATCTTCTTCATGGCAAAACGTTGACGAGTTTCCTTGTGGCGCACCAGAAATACAGCCCTGTAAGATCAGAGGGGCGACGATGGGAGGGAAGTGGAAGAAAGGAAAAAAAAAAGACCAGGGATCATAAGGACATGACAGTTATGGAGGGAGAACAACAGAAATTTCATTAGGAAAAGAAGGCGGGACAAAAGAGGAGAAAACATGACCATCACTCACTCCTGGACCTGGTGTTCAGACTTGAAACAACACTGCCCAGACAAATTGTCAGTGTAAACACAAAACACAGACAACATAGCCTCATTTTAGTTTCTTTTCTGCTTTTACTAGGCTCTCTGCGGTGTCCACAAAGAAACTGAGTCAGTCGAACACAAAGAAGTCTGTCTTACTCACCCATAGGCGCCATTGCTAATGAGCTTGATAGTGTCAAAGTCACTCTCCAGTGGTTTCCTTCGAGGAGGGGTGCAGGCTGCTCGGCTCTGAACCACACATGCACACAAAAAAAAAGCAAAACAAAACAAAAAAAACAAAACAAAATTAAGTCGCTGAATCCACGTACTTAATGACTCCATTGTGATAAAGGATTTCTCTGTGTGTGCATAGACAAGTGCTCCGTTTGCCACTTAGACTGCATCTATTTCAGCAACTCTTTCAATGTTGTTTAGCTCTGCCTTTTGACATTTTATATTTCTTGAGCACAACCACCACTCCAGAGTCACTAGACTACTGAACTACTCCCCAACTGCTCAATAAAAGCTTATACCTGTATAAGTGTGGTGTCTCCTGTGTCATCAGACTCCTTGCTAGATGACCTATGACTCGGGCTCGTCTGCTCCAGATGGACCATTTCTGTAACAGCATCAGATCAATGAAGACAATCAGTGCTTAGTCAGCTGTCTGCAATGACACTGACTAATGATGCTTAACAAAACACCAGACAACTGTCACTGTGTACATGGCGGCTTTCTTAAAACATTTTTTTTTTTTTTTTTTTTACAGAGCTGCAAGTAAATAAACAAAATGAGACTGTTGTTGCTCACTTGACAAAACCTGAATGAAATCCAAAAATGTGTCCAGAGCATATTTGTTAGCAGATTTTTAAGTGATCTGTTTCAAAGGTGTCAGGTCAGTTATATAATTAAGAGTTTTGAAATCAGTTGAAGCAGGCTCTAAACACAAAGATGGGGTAGACAAAAAATGTGGCACCTTCTAGGGGATCCCTGGTGAGGCCAAGCTGGCTGATGATGTATCTGGGAATATCAGTCTTGATGCCCTGATCCACCTTGGCTTGCCCCTCTGCAACTTCCAAACGTTGGTAAAACTCCTCTGGATCAAACTCCTAGAGAGAGAGAATTAAAAAAAATAAAATGTTGTGGTTTCATTGTTTTGTTGCTTTTTTGTACATATTATATGGATTACTTTGGTTTGTGCGAAACAAAAAAGGCTCTGAATTCTAAGCAATTAGAGGAAAATATTGAAGAAATATTTTCATAGAAAATCTGCAAACCACACACACCAGGAACAAAAAAGAAAGAACGAGTTGCTATGTCTGATAGAACATTTTTCCAGTATGATTCAATAAACTGAATAAGATGACACAATCCACCATGGAGCAGGTATACAGTCCTCATGGCAGAGCTGGGAATGCTGCAAAAGTAAACCCAGTGTGTTTGTCCTTGTCTGTGGGACTACTGGGAAAAGTAACAGTGCTAATTTCAGAACTTCAATCATCTGCTATGGCACCTTCTGCCAATATTAAAGGACTCAAGAAAAACTCCAGGTAAAAATCTTGTCCGGTAAGGCAAACATGCTGCTGGCTTACTCCAGCAAGCAACTGTGTTATCATTATTACAACAACTATCATTACTAGAGCACACAATGACTGAGCCACCTGCCATATGTGCATTACAGGGGACAGATAGTTTGTTCAAGGCTCTATGGTGGTGAACATGTTGATATTATGGCACTCCAGCACCTATAATCACTACTATGTCTGACCCCGAGTCTTACCAGGCACTCCAGGAGTCTGGCAGGCCTGGAGATGATGATGAGAATCTTCCTGACCAGTTTGGTGATGATGGTCACCTCCTCACTCTCTGAACGCTCGTACGCCTGATAAGGGAAGAAGAGAGAGTGATGAATTATTACTGAGACTTAATCAAATTGCCACAAACCACAAGGCCACACTGTTCATCCACAGAGGCTGTCTGCACTTTGGTCTGGCTTATATCATTTTTAGCATCCATTCATTATCTGAAGGTGATTTAAGGAATCGTGGCTGGAATTTCAACGTCTTGCATCAATGCTCATTTCTTGCTGCTTTGGCAGATTTATAAATAATAGAAAACTCTTGCAGATACACTTTTATTAACACTGTCTTCATATCTTGGTCCAATATTGCTTTGCCTTGGTCAAACAGCAGATTCAGAATCTGTGTTGCAGAGGTGATAAAAGAATGGTGTCATTCAGAGTTCAGGTAAGCCCATTCGTTGCCTGTTGCTGGATTTGTTTTAAAGATATAATCTTCCAAAAGTCTTAAAGAAAAACAGTCTTATGAAACAGCAACTATAATTCAACTGAAAACTAGCAAGCACAGAGACAATTTCAAACATTTATGTAAACCAAAAGGGACCATTTGCTTAAAATACAATCTATCTAGGCTGGAAAAACAACATGTAAAACTTTAAAAAATAATTATGAAAATGTGATTTTAGTGGACGTTAGAGACAAAATATAGCTATGTCTGTTGGACTGTAGGATAAACAAAGCTACATGGATGAATATAAGAACAAACTGCATTGACTGTGCAACTAATTGAACTCAAATTATTCAACTGTCTGAATAAAAAAAGACAATTATTCAAAGTCCGAGTCTGCAGCAGGAGCCATAATCTATTTTGCTGAAGGCAGTGCTTGCTGCACCAAAATTGTTGCTGGAAAGGTTATGTAATACATCATTACATAATCAACGCCTTGTCTACAGCAGAGATCTACTGTATGTAATAATATTAAATGGCAACACCAATACTGGCCAGTGAACTGGAACCAGCACAGCAATTAAAGAGGCAATATCAGTTTAATGTAGTCAGTGCAGCTACAGTATAGTATATAGAGGGCAATCTGAACTACCAACAATCAGAGATCCACTGATGGAGTCTTAGAGGGAACAAACATGTTTACATGGCTGAATCATAATTGAAAAAGTGAATACATTTATGTGTGTGCGTCAGATCACAAAACATTTGTTGAAGAAGAGAAACACTCGCCTCATGCAGCAGCTTCTCCAGTTTCTCCTGCAGCTCCACAAAGTACCTGGAGGTGACCAGGCCGTTCTGTGACTTGTCTAGACAATCTCTGGCGAGCTCCACCAGCTGGTGCTGAATGAATCCCAGCACTCCATCAGCCAGTGGAAGAGCAGTGTCTGCGGAACACTCCGCAATGATGTCCAGGAGCCGACCCTCCATCTGGGCTGTTGCCTGAGAAACAACCAAAAATGCATTTCTTTACTTTAACGTAGTATTGTAGTAACAAGTGAGTGACTCAAGAAATGTAGATCATCTTTTCACATGCATAGCGCCACTGAAGATACCTTAGGAAAACGTTCTCTGTAGACATGATTCATCATGACAATCTCATTGTCAAATGTTCCACAGGTCCGTCCAGGGCTGGAGGCAAAAGAAAAAAAAAAAAAAGAAGAAGAAAAAAGAAAATAATAAAAATAACATGTAACAATAAATATCAGAAAACTGTTTTGCACCAATAAAGTTATTATTTTATGTATACAAAAACCGAACCACATACAAACAATGGAACTGATTTGCAAACTGACAGGTAGGCAGAGAAGTAACAGACGGAAGAAGGAAGGAAGGAAACGTGTTGCTGTTTTACATAATCCTTGAACTAAAGTGAAACATCTTATGGATAATGTTGGCATGGCCCAGTTACTTTTATTTGACCATTCCTGGTTAAATGAAGGATAAGTAAACATAAAATAAAATAAAAAATACTAGATCTTTTCAAGTGAAGAATAATAATATCGAAACTGTAAAGCTACACAAAGTGAATTAATTTCCTATGAATAAATTACAAACGCATGACTGAAACTGTTTATTATTAACCCAAGTCACAAAGACAGCAAGTTTGAAAGTGATAGTAATGTGCTTCAGCCAATGATCCCATTTGCAGTATCCATGGCCACATCTGTTGTGTGCAAAGGACTTCAGTTACAAAGGGGCACCTGTTAAACTGTCTGTGCACATTACAAATCAACATGCTGCCATCACAGATGTTAGAAAAAGCAACCCTGGGTTTACCTACACACACATACAGTACATACTGCAAATAATAATATCAAGATATGACAAGCACATATTATTTCTGAGCAACCACAACAGATGCACATATATTGTGGTTTTATTTGTAGGCAACCATGAATCCCTTGGGACATGTTTGAGGGCAATAACAAATGCTTTAGACACCTGCTGAGGCTGTTTTAAACACTTGTCTGTCATCTATTTCCACAGTCAATGCATGCAGTAATTTAGAAGTGTTAACAGAATTTAAAAAGTCAGCTATATTAATTTAATAAGCTTTGCAGCCCAGAGGTTTAGCTGGCTAAAACCCTGGAGGGATTTTCTCTCAGATGAAACTGAGGATTTGGGGAATCTGTGTATTTGCTGTACATAAACTAAAATTTTAATTCATTTATCACTGATAAAGCTTGACATAACTATACGCTCACACTTTATAAACTTTAACTTAAAAACATAAATGTTAAGCTGTTTAAATCAACATGTAATTAAGACTTTACTGAACATAAGTCCCTGAATACGTCCCTTTTTCCTTTCCACCCTCAAAGCTCACCACCACTAGAGCTATAGAGGGCCTGTTTAAGTGTTTAATGAGATACTAATGATGAGGTGCTAAACATTTACTTTCTGGAGGCGGTAGGCTTTATATTGGTTCCACAGCGAGCACCTTCCATTTGTACAGCAGAATTTTCCAATCACAGAGGAGCAAAGGAAGTGCAGCATCGCACTAAAGCTATGGTTATATCTGGAATGGGTCGTTTCTTAGCTAGCAGACAAATAAAATGGCAGAGAAGGAACTATGGTTCAATAATGAAAACTACAAATGGCAGTCATGATTTTGTCCTAACCTTTTATTTGCAGTCATAGTGCTAATGTTCAACAGGTTAGCTAATCAGCTGCCTGTTCAACTAGAAGCTTAAATGAGAAAGATACCTAGCTAACTAGAGAAAAAACTTTAAGGGGGATTACTAAGCAGTTCATTTTGCATATGTGCACCCGGTTTTTCTGCCCATCTCCGTTAAAGTGCTGTGCACAGTTGTGTCCAGACTGTTTCTGTAAGATTTATCCAGGATTGTCTCAGTTCTAAACGGGCCTAGCGTTGCCTTTGTCTGGCAGTATTTGCAAGTTGTTATGCTTTTGTCAATTTCCTTTCGTCTATGTCACTTCTTGAAACGAGAAAGCTGGAATGCTGGCACTTAACAGCTGTAAAATTTGAGGATGGAGTATTCGCTATGTCCACTTCAAATTCTACAGCCTGAACACAGTTATACTGATGAATCAGAATCAAAATAAGCTTTATTGGCCAGGTGTTTTGGTCACACAAGGAATATGACTCTGGTCAAATTCCTCGTGTGTCCAACACCCCTACGAACTTATGAAATAACAGTATGTAACATCCTAGTACATACCATCACAGTCCCACGACAGCATCAAGAAATTTTCTATTGTGCTATCATGAAACTACAAATATCATTAGATTCCTAGAAAACAGTGTCAATAAACACCACACTTATAAAAAAAACATAGTTAATGTAACATGCTACTAGCATACAGACATACTTAAATTTGGCACATTTGCAGTTTAATCACGCTGCTACTTGAAATCTGGTTTTAATAGTGTGTAATATTTTGTGAAATCTATCCTCCCTCTTTCCAAACCTTAACCTACCACATTAGAGATGTAGCTCTTTGGTTCCACCCATTCAAATTAAACTAAGATAATGAGATTATCTCATCTCCCAGTGAACTGTAAAGTTACAGAAACATTTCTGTGACAAAACCTTCTGGGCATTATAGTTAGTGCATGACTGCAAGCCAAGCTACCTAAGACTGCGTGAGCGGAGCCTGACAGGGGGTGAGGCGTGTGCTCCCTCTTCATCTGCCACACTCTCCGTGCTCCGGAAATGTTTGAAGAGGAAGTGGAGATCATCTTGCGTAGGCTGGAAGGGCAATTGGTGCAATAACTCCTGGGAAGAAGAGGACTGAGAGGAAAAAAAAAAAAAAAACACAGAGGGGACAAATCAGATATTTTAAATAGGACATCAAAATAAACTGATGAAAGCCACTTATCTCCTCAGTTTCTCTACTTTTATTTGTGCATTTGTACCTATGTCAGGCTTTGCTTCTACTGCTTTGATGATACAGTGTACTGTAACATCCTGAGCTAAAAGGTCTCCTCTGACAAGAGAGCCACACTGCTCTCAGAATCACTCGCTATCCTGTTAATACTCGATCTTAAAGGCTTTCATGTTCCACTGCAGATCTGAAATAGATTTAACACTTTAAAAAGACATGCTGAGAAAACCTGAATTAGTATTAAACACTATAAAGCCCTTTCTAATTTTAAAAACAGACTGTGAGCGTTAGTGTTCCGCTGCTCTGAAGCAGGATTTTTTCCCTTTCTGCCGCAGCACGCCCTGAGGCAGGCAGTAACAGCTGTTGCGTCTGCTCATGCATCCATTCGTTTTCTCTTTCTGGGCCAAAATGTCTGACATGCAGCCTGGAATTTATGACAGCTCCCAACTGGCTGGGATCCTGTGTTTCTTTGTGAGAAGAGCGAAGGGAAGCGTGGCTAATCTGACTGACAGAAACAGGGAAAAAGTGAAAGGAAAACAGACATAGAAAAAGGAGAGAACAATAGAGCAAGGAAGAGACAGAAGACAAATGACAGAGAGAAGGGAGAAAGAGATCCTGCAGAGGAAACTAGAGACATGTCAGAACTGAGGGAGAGCAGCATAAAGACCTCACTGACTGCGATCATGAAAGGGGCATTGTGTGGGGAGGGCTGACCTCACCGTCTCCAAGCCATGTGGTTGGCTGTACAAAATTACAGCTATGAGAGAGGAGGCGGGTATTGTTTTTTTTTTTTTTTTTCCCCCAAACTGCAGTTTCAGTAATGACTTTGAAAGTGAGATGTTAATCACTATAGAAACCATCAACATACAGCTAGGTGCAGCTTGGCTGAGAAAAGCTTAGTGAGGAAATGTGAAACACTTTAGAGTCCCTGCTCAGCTGTGATGTCATCCAGGAAAAGGAACCATGCATTTCAACAAGACCTGTGTTATTTTAGCGATTAGGCTTGTTATTCCCGTACTCTCCCTCGGTCTAAAGGGGCCACACAAAGAGCAGCTCAATATCATTTCGGCATGAAGTCATTTATTTAACTAAGAGGCTCACGTGGCAAAACATTAACTACTTTCCAACCACGGTGAATTTTTAAATCCCTCTTTGGTTCCACTGCAAATAATTTGGTCAGTTTAGCCATAACATCACTTCATACTGGGCAGAATTCTATGTCTTTTAAAAGTCGTGGATGTTTAAAACTGTTCATCTTTAATCATAACCATTATCGTGTTAGAAATTCCAGGAAAACTCTGGGAAAGGCATCTGTGGATTCATACCCATTTCCTCTCTGAGGTGGTAAGAGCGAGAAAAGGCTGATGACAGGGGGCTGCATCATCCCAGCTCATATCCTGCTGAGTCATTAAGGGATACAAAATCCATCTCCAGTCAGCTGTTTGGGGTAAAGCAACCGGTGGCTGAAAGCATGGTAGCCCAGAATATCATGTGATAGTGTTTGCCATACACCTAGGAGAATATTTTCAGCATATTTATACTGTATTTAACCTGAACATATGACGTTTACAATGGGAATCTGTCTGTTTAAACACCAAAACTGAATAAATACATGCAGGACTTGGTGCTAAAAACGGTTTATGCACATAAAGCTTTTCTGGAAGATTTTTTGGAGGTTTTGTTCTCACAGCAGGTTTATGATTATTACCTCCACCAAGGCAGAGGTAATGTTTTAGTGGGCATTTGTTTTTTTGTTGGTCTGTTCACAGCACAACTAAAAAGTAATGAATGAATTTGAATTAAATATTTTGGAGAGGTCGGGTACAGCCCACAAAACAATGCACTAGAGAGTTTGGTGCTGATCTGGATCATCAACAGGATCCAGGAATTTTTAAAGGATTCTTCACCATTGAGATAGGTCCAGTTCATTGTTTTCAATCATGTGACTGGCACAGAGACCTGGAGAGCAAAAACCCTTCCTGCACGGTGGCTAACAGTGGACACCCGATAAAACTGCAGCACAGGCCTGTTAATCTTGAATGATTACTAATTCATGAACAATCTGATTCTATTCAACAGCTTGTTGGTAGGAAGAGCTCAGGCTCATGCTTGAGAGCCATTCTTTTTATCTTTGTGCCCAAACTTCACAGGCTGTATTCTAAATCTACTCCACCAACAGAGAAAGAGAGAAAGAAAAATCAGCACGGCCTAAAGAGCTAACATGTGAATGAAGACAGGGAGTGGCACTAGCAAAACAAAAGAGTGAATCAACATTTCTTTTTGATTGTTTCATAGCGGTTACATTCTAAAACACAAATAAACATGGCCACACCTCCGCACAACCCCCAGGGAGGATTTTATGTGAATGCGGTCAAAGCACAGGCTTCATCCTCCTGTCTATTCTGCTGTGATCTACCCTGCAGCTTCATCTACTTGTACATGCACTGGCTTGCATTTGTTGCAACATCCTGCTCATATACTAATTTTTCACAGCACCTGTTCAGTTCTGCAGGCGCTGAGCTTCATGGTCGAAGATATATTTTAGGTGAAGCATCACTTTTAACTTGTAGAAGACAAGGCGAAGCTGCAGCACTTTGCTCAAGACACTAAATTTGGTTACCATCTTTCACCTTGAGTTGCTGGTCAAAAGATATAATACTTTCAGTTAAAAATGGCCTAAAATCTGGTCCAGGTGCAAAGTTTACATACAAGTATTTACTTTGAAAGGGTGTTTTATAAATCAGCAATAATTCAGACATGAATTTATTTCCTTTTAACACCCACACTGTGTGTAAACAGATGGGATTTACAGCTCAGTCAGTCAGTGCCTTGCATTTACAAGACGCCATAGTGCTGTAAACTGATTGATACAGCAAGTAGCTAAATGCTCCCTTGGCAGTGGTTTGAAGAGAGATTGAATATCTGATGAAGGAAAGAGAGACAACTGAGATTACAGGAAGAGAACGCCACAGAAACAAAACTCAACTTACAGATACTGATGAACTGGGTGCATTGGTGCAATATCCAGATGAGGGAACTGACGCCACAGACCACCTTCGCCCATCCACTCTGCAGAAACAAAACAGCAGCACGCTGCTCAGTGGTCGCTTGTTATTCTACATGAAACCTACACATCCTGTTGACTCACTCCAAGCTTCAGTTTCACCTTTTTATGCCTATAAAACTCATTTTAATATAAGATGATCACATGCAAGATTAAAGACTAAAAGATAACATCTGATGCTTGAAACTGTGGTGATAAAAAACAGAAACACCAGTTTGTCATTTTCTTACCTCTCACCGCGGGCAAGTTGGCTACGTGAATCCAAAAAGAGGAAGACACAAATGGAGAAGGCGAGAAAGAGAAGGAAAGTTGGCAGGGCAGGACACAAAGGGAAAAAGAAACAGCATTTAATGAAGAGTACTGTAAGTCTGTCTGTCACACTCTGGTTTGTCTGTCACAGCTTGCAGCCAGTGGCGGTCTGCTGCTGAACACGCTGCCATCACACTGCAGCACTGAGACTCACACTTAGCTTCTGACTCATTATACACACACACACACACACACACACACACAACATACACTCAGAAACAGTGCTTACATATACACCATGAAACACCCACCCAGACGGCTAACAAAAACACAAAACCTCATCACTTATGTGTGAAATTTCCACTTGTAACAACGCCTCTATCTCCACTGTCCTCTCACTTTTCCATCCAATACGGCTTTCCTTCACTGACTCAATCTGTGATGACAAGGATGGCCAAAGGTTTTCTCGCAGAAACCAGCTCTTGGGGACATGCAGCTAAATCAGAGGTGACACGGTGAAATTGGAAGGTTCTGCTCCGAGATCTGAGGATTCGTGATGTGTTTTCTGATATGGTTCATATTGAATATGTAGCCTATACCCTCTGCTATGTGCTAACAAACCTTTTTACTGTGGATACCAGGATGTTGCATTAAGGTCCTGCAAGTCTTAAAGAGATGGAAGCTAAGATTAAAAGCAAGGTCTGAAACTGATTTAAGAATCAATGCCTGTGGCCTGTGGTGTGAAGGATGTGGGCAGAGTGTAGGCAGTCCTCACACCGCTAGATAAAAAAAAAAAAAAGCATCTTTAATGTTGAAAAAGTCTCAATAAATTTAGGGGAGTCATGCAGGCTGGTAAAATGCAATCCTATGAGGAGGGCATTTTCCTACCATCCCTGAAATGACTGGTGTAATATGCCATATTCCCATATTCCACTGTAACATGAAATGCATATTCCTAATACATCATATTTGATATGAGCAGCATAAAACATTTAAATTCAATGAAGCTGTCCATTTGTGAAGCTTCTGTATATGCATACTGGTAACCACCAGAATGAGCCTACATGTTGCTGCTTTGCCTTAAATATCTTTACTAGCAGGTCAATAACACACTATTTCCTGCTACTGGACCAGGATGCCAGTTCTGTTTCTCTAAATCCCAGTGAGTCTATAGACAGTGGCACGATAAGAGGCCAAGCTCTGCAATGTTTCCGCATAACCACAGCAGTCCTGAGTAATGAGTGTGTGCACTGACTTGTGTCTTAACTGGCTTGATAAATGCCAAGATCCATATCCAGCAAGTGGCCCTGGGGTCTTTCAGCTGGTTGGGATTGCTGCTCTGTTGCCTTATTTCCATTGCAGGAGCAAAAGAGAACAAGCTGGGGCAAGTTCACTCTTCATGCCACTCAAAATTCCTCAAAAAACTTCCTATGTTATTTTTTGGTTTTTATTCAGAAGGCTATTGCTTTATATAAGTGAACAATGTTGACGCTCTATCAAAGCTGTTATGAGCTGATGTTTGGTTCAACTGGGCATTATTAACCTTGCAGGGAAAAGTCACTAATGAAGCAACTTTGGTATCTCTAACTCTCTGCAGGTTCTGACTGCTGAGTGAAGCATGAATGTAAATACATTTCTGTTGGCATATATTTTTTATGTGCAGGATAACTGCACTTCTGTCACTTCACGTCACTGCAGGAAGAAAGATGAAGGGACTCTGATGCTAAAATCTGCATTTAATCCACCGTTTTCGGAGGCTTCTGCACTTGATCGGTTTTACCAGTTTTCCACTTGGGTAGACTACTTGGTAGAGAAAACACTACTGTAGTAAGCTGGCTGAGCGTAAGTGCCTTAGACCAATTCAAATTAAAAGATATCTGAGTTCATGCTTACCTGCGGGCAAACTGGAAGTTGGCAGACGTGCTGGCAGTGACATTTCTGGGGCTTTCTGAAGGGCTGCTGCCAGCTAAAGAAGATAGACAAATTTGAAACCTAGTAGATAATGAAATAAACTCTGTATACCACCACTCAAAAGTTTGGGTTGACCTCCATTTTACCAGTCGTTATTAGTGTAGTTCAACAGTCGAACACACCTGTGGCCTGAAATCAAATGTTGTTCAGACAGACAGCACTGCTGCTCCCATAAAATGTGTTATTACTAGTGATGGGTCCGGTAACACCGATGCGTCACCACATGCGTCGAGCTCGTAGAGCAAAACCCCATGTTGGTGCGCGTATCGCTTTAAGAAAGTCACGTGACCAATACAGAAACTGTTTCGAACTGACACTGCCGCACCAAACTGTGTTTATAAGGAAGTGCATATGTCAACGGGATGCATCTGCCAAAACGAATCTCTGATCTTTTGCGGTTTGTCACATTCATCAAGAATTACGGAGCAGCCTCAAGCCAAAAGAAAGGTTTCCGCCGTGTGGGACCATTTTTATCTCATATCGGAAAATAAGGTATTTGTTTTAATTACCTTGTTGTTTCATCATGTTCCTCTCAGAGTTCCCACTTGTTCTATCTGAATTCAAATTCATTTCAAAGTGACTCTAAGTTTACTATTCATATTATTTTCTGCAGGTTGAATGTCGCATTTGTTCGACAGAACTTTCCTGCTTAAATAAATCCACCTCCTCAATGCTGCTTAAATGTCATATTTAGACAGCAGAAAAATGGAGGTGACCTCAAAAATTGGAAGGAGTCCAAAATCCAAGGAGTTGGATAAAGGAATAACTAGCCACAGAGGAAGCGACATGAAAATACTATCAGGACTAGGAAAACGACTGCATTTCTTATCCACTATGCTGTGGGCAAACATACAGTGGGTACGGAAAGTATTCAGACCCCCTTAAATTTTTCACTCTGTTATATTGCAGCCATGTGCTAAAATTATTTCAGTTCATTTTTTTCCTCATTAATGTACACACAGCACCCCATATTGACAGAAAAACACAGAATGTTTGACATTTTTGCAGATTTATTAAAAAAGAAAAACTGAAATATCACATGGTCATAAGTATTCAGACCCTTTGCTCAGTATTTAGTAGAAGCACCCTTTTGAGCTAATACAGCCATGAGTCTTTT